CTGGATTAACTGTATTCCTCTAGAGCCAAGTTCATAATAAATAATAAACATTTGTTGAATGAAGACTTTACTCTTGCTACAGTGCATGACTCATCAGTAAACTTCCTCCTGGGAATCGCTAGAGTGAAAATGATAATGGCAGACTTTTGCCAAGCAGTTACCAGGTGCTAGGCTTGGTGCTAAGCCTCTAACATGCATCATCTCATGTAATTGTCACAACAGTCAGAAAATTACTGATCCCATTTTACACATGAATAAACTGATATACAGAAAGGTGAAGAAACTTCCTTCCAAGATCACTCAGTTAAGAATGGCAGAAGCATGTGGTTCTGATTACCACACACCATTGCCCTGTCCCTCTCTGGCACCATCCTGTTAGCACAGTAATTACATAGGTACCTGTTTTAGCACCAATATCTGCTGAACTCAGAGCCCTTCAAAGGCAGAAGAAAGAAAACATGTTCACACAAAAACTTATGTACAAATATTAAAAGCATCATTATTCAGAATAGTCAAAGAGTGAAAACAGCCATCAACTTTTATCAAGTCCATCAACTTGATAAATGAATAAGCAAAATGTGGTCTGTCCAGACACTGGAATATTATTCATCCATAAAAGGGATGAAGTACTGATACAATCTACAACATGCATGAACCTTGAAAACATTTCACTAAGCAAAAGAAGCCCATCTCCAAAGATCACATGTTATTTCATTCCATGAAAATGAAATGTCCAGAATATACAAATGCATAGAAAGTAGATTAGTGGTTGATTAGGGCTAAGGAGGCAGAAGGGGATTGGAGGTGAAGGTTGCACACTGCTAATATATCAAAAACAATTGAATTTACAATTTAAATGGGTGAATTGTATTGTGTAAGAATTATATCTCAATAAAGTTGAAAAAAAAAAGAAGAGGAAGTATCTTACGCACCAATGAATCTGCCAAGCTAGTTGAGTGAAAAAAATGAATGAATGGCTGTTTCCCTTGCAGTGGGCAAAAATCTACCATATTTCTGAAGTCTAAAGTTAATTTTCTTGACAGCCTTACAGGGATGCTCACTCTTAGCTTCCAGGAACCCATTAATAAACTAATAAGAAACCTGATAATTCAATAAATAATTCCTGAGGTTGCCAGTGCTACTCCAGGAAAAAGAAATGCACAGATGATTTCTTTCAGATACAAACTGTGGGATTGCAGAGCAAGGAGCTGCCAGGATGTTCTGTCTGGGATGGGCCCCTGGAGATCTTGCTGTGGTCTGTTTCCACTTGGCAAACCTTGATTCATTTATCTGAGCTCATCTGACTGTTCCTGTGTTGTTGATTTTGTTTTTCCTCCTAGCCCTAGTCATTCAGAAGGACAGTCGTAAATAAAAGCTCCAGGATAAAATAGCTCGCGAGGTTCTATGGAAATGATTGCGAAAGATCCAAACACTTCAGTGGGCATCAACTGGCAGGAAAGGTACTTGTTCAAAATGCCTCATCCCTGGAGATTCAGATTCAGCGTGACTAGGGTGGGGCCATGGAAACTGAATTTTAAATACAGCATCTGCAGTGTCCTTGATACAGGGTATGCCTGGTCATATGAGGAACACTGACCTAATGAAACATAGACAGAAGGAAATAAAGTGTGGCTATTATCTCAGGCAGAAAAGTGGGTTTGCTTAGGGATCTTAGAGATCATGGGATTTAGACGTTTTCATGCTCTGATCCTGGAACTCCTTAGGATTCCATGGAGCACTTGGAGGGGCTCTTGGGCTGGTGGAGATACAGAGGCGTGGATGTGTCTACCTCAGCACATGTCCCCTTTAAAAACTGTATTTAAATTTTTTTCTAAACCAAGATACTGGGTTCTATTGCTTGAAAAACCACCAGTTGTGCCCTGCCCCACACATGCAAGTGGAAAAACTGAGGACTGGAGAGGAAAATATCTTCCCAGGGAAGTGGAGTGACAGCATACTGATGGCAGAAGCAGAGCTGATACCAGGCCTTCACTTCCAGCCCCGGGCCCTTCTCACTAGGGAATGCCAGTGAGAACACATCCCTTCATTTCAGGATGGCTTTGCCTCCAGCAAATCCCACACAAAGACAGTAGGGCCCAGACTAGGGTAAGAGGAATAAGGCATCCTGCCTCCAGCACACAATTTAGGGTGGTGCTCCAAAATTCAGAAATCAAGACAAATAACATTTTTCCAAAAAATTCATGATGAACAAAGTACCAAAATTTTACATAAAAGTAGAATCAGTAGTGGAGAAGGAAATGGCAACCCACTCCAGTATTCTTGCCTGGAGAATCCCATGGACAGAGGAGCCTGATGGGCTGCTCTCCATGGAGTCGCACAGAGTTGGACATGACTGAAGAAGCGACTTAGCATGCGTGCATGCGTTGGAGAAGGAAATGGCAACCCACTCCAGTGTTCTTGCCTGGAGAATTCCAGGAACAGAGGATCCTGGTGGGCTGCTGTCTCATGGGATCTCAGAGTCGGACGTGACTGAACCAGTAGTCCTGATTTTTCCTTTTGCCCCCAAGCTCCAGTATGGCTCTCTACAGCACTATTACTCATCATGCTTTTATTTAAAGTTTTGGTATCTTGTTCATCATGGATTTTTTTGGTATTAACTTTGATTTTTAAAATGTTGCATTCAAGTATGATTTGTCTAGGTTGCTAAGTTTTTTTGTGTTTCCCTTAACTTGGTGCCTGAGGCACATGCCTCACTTGCTTCACCCTAATCTGGGCCCTACAGAACAGGTCTTTTGGCAGATAGCTGAGTCAAGGCCCATTGTTCTCTGGGGAGCCCTCCAGATCCTATCACTTTATTTGTCTGATGGAATTGATGTTTGTTTGGTCTCACTGTGACATTGCCCTTGTCACTTAATTTGCAGAAAAGTTTGTAATCTGCAGGAGAATGTTTGTTTTGCTGGCTCAGCAACATTTTCCTCTGCTCTGGCAACAGCAACCCTTAAGTTGTTGGGTACCTTCCCTCCCCTTCTCTGAAGCTGATTCAGCACACTGGCCTAGAGGTGGGCATGTGACTCAGCTCTGCCAATCAGAGCCTTGCACCCCCTTCCCCCAGTGATTGGCTCAGGAATGATCATGTGATTTAGTTACAGCCAATGAGAATCAATTCTGGTGGTCTGGTCTGAACTTCGGGAAAGGGAGCTGAGACTGAGAAGAGAGGATGTAAACCATCTCAGGGAGCCTCTCTGAGACAGTAAAGACCGCAGTGGGGATAGCAGCAGATAGAGACAAGGAAGAAACATCGTGATGATATTGCTTGAGCTCCTGGAGCCAGCTGTGCAGAAGGCAATTCTCCACCCTGGACTTAGGGGACCTGTGGGCCACCTTTCACCCAAGTCAATTTGAGTAGTGTCTCTGTCTGGAGTAGTATTTATGTCACATAGATGATCCACTCCTTCCTTCCTGCAGTCTGACCTGGTTGCCATGGGAGAAGACGTAGAGAAGCCCAGCACCAGACTTCCATCCTAAAGGTCTTCATCAGGTGGTGGTGTCCTTCATCCAAGGGCAGCCTTAGAAGGCAGAGTATTGTCAGGAACAACTCTCATATCATTACTGAGCACTAGTGGTGTTGTCAGGTCCTGTAGTAGATATTTGCACATCAATATATTCATTTTGTCCTATAACAACTCTATGAAGTAGATTCCATTATTAACTCCAGGTTGAAATCCAGTCCACCCACCCCCAGGGCAGATGTCCCAAACCTCTAGCTAGAGGCAAAGGGAAGGCCCGGTTAACCAGCAGGTGAGCATACTTCCCATCGTATGTGTTGCTTTTGTAAATGGACAGACTTTGTAGGTGATAGACTCCTACTAAGAACAGCTGAGCCTGGACGTTAGCAAATCCCTTTCCCCACACTCTCCTATAATACTATTGGCATCTTGAAGTAAGAAACCTTAGGCCAGCTTAGTGAAGCTCAGTGCCTCCGGCAGCACAGGCCTTGGAAATCAGCAATGACCCATATGAGGAAGGATCTAGAAAAGAATGGATATGTGTATACATGGATCACTCTGCTCTACACCGGGAACTAACACAACATTGTAAATCAACTGTACTCCAGTAAAATAAAAGAAAACAAAAAATTATCAGGTGGGTCGACTCACTGACTGTGGCCATCTTTGCTCTTTTATTCATTCAGTAAAGATTTATTGAGTGCCAGCTCTATGCCAGATCCCATTTTAAGCACAGAGGATACAGGTAGTGAACGAAACTGGGGGCAGTCCCTGCCTTCAGGGAGCTGCCAGTCTTATCAGGGAGGTACCTATGAGACAAATAATTGTGCATGCAATTATTACAAGTATGATAAGCACTGGTTCAGGCTGTTAATGTGAATGGCAACAGAAGCCTCTTAAATCCGTTGGTAGACTAACTAAGCAACTTTATTCATCGGGTGGGTGTTTTTGGATTGACTGCCAATGCTAGGCACCGCGTTTGGTACTGAGTACTGGGAAGAGTAGGGAACAAGGCTCAGCCTACAAGGATCCCGCCATGAACAACAAATACACCATCTGACCAGCTGTCCCTCCCACCTGCAGACTGTGAACCACTGCAAGTTTACAGCTTTGAAAGCCACTTGAAAGAACAATGCCAGTCCTGCTTCCACAGGTAAATATATTTGACTTGTTCCATTGGCCTCATGTTGGTCTTAACCATGTCTTTCTCTGATCCCCTGTGGCTTTTGCTCTCTAGGGTTGGAAAAATCAGGACAGATGGTCATTGAGCTTACTGAGAATGTTTTATTGTGCTTTGTAAAAATAGGCTGAAAAACACATGAATTCACTGGGAGAAGAAGGCATCAGGAAAGGGAAGGAACTTGAGGTTGAAACTCACTGGGCCCCATGGCTCCAGCCTGCTGGAGACAGGAGCTTGGCTTTGAGGACAGGCCTTTGGTGATATTTCTGGTTGTCTAACCCCACGGGTACAAGTGGAGTGTGTCGCCCAGCTCGCCACGGGAACTTTCTGGATGGCTTTATTATTCAGAGCATATGGTGCTTTGGCTCCAGTTGTCAGAGACAGTCTGTGATTCTGCAGAGCTGGGAATGGGGCTCTCAGCAGTAAAGGTGAGTGTTTGGGTGGTTTTAGATATAGGAGTTTTGACTCAGTCATTCTTAGAATTAGTCTCCCTGCAAAGTAGCCAGAATCACTTGGGTCCCAGGGACCTGATCCAGGCCTGAAATGTGACAGTGTGGGGAGAAATGGGAAGGGAATGGCCTCCGACTGTATCCCTCCTGGACTAAAGCACTTAGAGGGTGGGGAACGCCATTGATTTTTTTTAAAGTTAATTAACTAATTTAATTTTGGCTGTGCTGGGTGTTCATTGTGGTCCGTGGGCTTCTCTAGTTGTGATGTGTGGACTCAGTAGTGGCGTGTGGGAGTTTAGTTCCTCTACTAGGGATTGAACCCAGGCCCCTGCATTGGGAGTGCAGAGTTTTATCCATTGCTCCACCAGGGAAGTCCCCACAGTTGATTCTTTTCTGTAGCTCCCAAGTCTCACACCCTGGGACAGGTGTCTTGCGTCTCATATATCGAAGGCTTGCTATTTGCTAGGCATTCACTTGTTTAATCTTTACCACAGCCCCATGAGGTAAGTTCTGGTGTCATTCTCACTTTATAGGTAGCTGAGGCTCGGGGTAGTAGAGCAGAATCCACACAGATGATAGAGCTGTGCTACCCTGTCATGTCTCAGCATGGCCCTCAGAGAGCAGTCAGCAGAGTGGGTGAGTGGTGAGGATTCTCTGACATGTGGGTACTTGGGGAGGGGCCTGAAGTAGAAAGCAGCCAACTCCTGAGCCAAGCCTTCAGCTTGGTACAGAGCCTTGACCATCCCAGTTCAGAGGAATATGGCATTACCTATTTTGAGAATAACATAGACTGTAGCATTTTGTCCCTTTGCTAAGGCCTTACTTTATATCAATAATAATACAAGTACATAACCAATCCATTGAGGTCTTATTTCTTTTCAGTCACTGATTCAAGGGCTTTTGGTGTATCATTTTATTTAATCATCACATTAATCCATGAATAGGTATTACTATCCTTCTGAGAAAAGAGACATTAAATAACTTGGGCAAGGTCATAGCTAGTGATTTACAGAGTTAGGATTCCACTTAAGGATGTGTGGCTTCAAGATTTGATTTATTGAGCATCAGAGACCTGGCTCAGTTACTAGTTCCTCCGTGAACCAATTGTGTGCCCTTGGCAAGTCGGTTCACTTTTCTGGACCTCAATCTCCACATCTGTGAAATGAGTAGGTTGGGCTAGATGATGTGTTAGGCCCCCTCCAGCTCTGATATCTAGACTTTGAACCCCTTGAGCGATATCACTCCTGAAGCCTGGGCACTTAGCAGAAAGCCTGGCCCAGAGTGGGCCCAGGTCAACATCTGTTGAGCTAAATCTTTCCTGATGTGCCCCAGCTCCTAGCTCCACAAGTGGTCACCATTCCCAAATCTGTGTATTTCATAGTATTTCATAGAGATATTTGCAGGAGGGGATTTTGGGCAAGTCAAGTCATCCCTCTTAATCATTTCCTTATCTATTGATAAAGGGTGGCAGAGATTGGACTATACTCTTACCATAGCAATTTTTTTTCTGTTCTCCAAACACACCCGCTCAGAGCTTTTGCATTTGTAGTTCCCTGTGCCTGGAACTCTCTCATCCAGCTCTTACAATGATTGGTTCCTTGTCATTACCGAAGTCTCACCTTTAATATCACCTCCTCAGAGAGAGCCTCTCTGACCACATAATCTGCAATAGCCATAGCCATTACTTGATCATATCAGCTTATTTCCTTTCTTCAGGGGACTGTTACCTATTTGATCTCTTTACTTGTTTAGGTCTAGTTCCCCCCTCTAGAACCTAAACAAGTAAAGAGATCAAATAGGTAACAGTCCCCTGCTTACCTGGTGGCTCAGTGGTAAAGAATCCACCTACAATGCAGGAGACCCGTGTTCGATCCCTGGGTCGAGAAGATCCCCTGGGGAAGGAAATGGTGACCTGCTCCAATATTCTTTGCCTGGGGAAACCCCATGGACAGAGGAGCCTGGTGGGCTACAGTGCGTGGGGTCACAAGAGTTGGACATGACTTAGCGACTAAGCCACCACCACCACCCCTCTTTCTAGAATGTGAGCTCAATAGGTGTAGAATCCTTGACTTTCAGGTTTATTGATGTATCCCTAGGCCCTGAGACAGGCTGGGCAGGCACATATAGTTGCTGAATAGTAATACCTATTGAGTGCATGAATTCCTAGTAAGTGAATAGATAACCTGGAGAGTCTCCAAAGTCCTTTTTAGCTCTAAATCCAAGGATATACAACACAGTAATTGTAAACTCACATGCAAGCATGACTGTACCATTTTACAGATGTGGAAACTGAGGCAGTGAGTGACTTGCCAAAGGTTTCACGGAGAGGGCGGTATCATCTAGAGCTGGGGTCCCTGACCTCTGGGATCTAAAGCCTGATGATCTGAGGTGGAGCTGATGTAATAATAATAATAGAAATAAAGTGCACAATACATGTAATGCACTTGAAATATCCCCAAGCCATTCCCTACCTCTATCCCGATCAGTGGAAAAATTGTCTTCCATGAAACTGATCCCTGGTGCCAAAAAGGTTGGAGACCACTGGTCCAGAGCACCGTGGGCATGTGTGTGCGTGTGTGCATGTGCGCGAGCGCGCGCGCATGTGTGTGTGTGTGTTCTCAGTCGCTCAGTTGTGTCTGACTCTTTGTGACCCCATGGATTGTAACTCAGTCCGGCCAGGCCCCTCAGTTCATGGGATTCTCCAGGCAAGAATACTGGAGTGGGTTGCCATGCCCTCCTCCAGGGGATCTTCCTGATCCAGGGATCAAACTCATGACCATGTGGGAATTCAAAAGCAGGGGATTCAGGTTTGGGTCCTCACACTATCCTACTCTGTCAACCTTCCTTACAAGATGCTAGTGAGCTGAACAAGCCATTTACCTCTTCCAACGCAGTTTTTCCATCTGAAAGAGAAGGTGTGCTGTTAACTTTGGTCAAGGGTGACTGTGAAATAATGAAGCTTCCTAAACTGAACAGCACTAAGCATTCTGCAGAATGTTGGTCCTCTGTTTACTCTCAGGTTATTCTCAGAGTTGTGGGTGGGAGAGGGGAAGGGAGCCCAGGACCAGGGCTATGGAGGAGGGGCGAGCCGGTGGGTTGGCACAGTTTGTTTACTTCTGGGTCTGCCCCTAGCCTCGCAGCCTTCACCTGCTCAGGTAAAGAGGTGGGGGGAGCCTTGCTCAGCCAATGAACTGCTTTTGTTCTCTTAAAGGCACCCAGCAGCTGGCACGAAAACCAGCCCTGCGACCTGAAGAGATCCCGGGGCGGATGCCAGGAGGCAACTGTGGGGCTGGATGTAGCAAACCCCTCCATGGCGACCCCGTGACCTCATGTCCTGGAGGGTGCTTGCTTCAGGGCAGCCTCCTCCGCCTTACCCAGAGCCCGCTTTCCAGGAGGCGCCCACGCCTAGCTGCCCTGGCAGACGCCCAGGGAGGAAAGACAGCGTGGCCTTGGCAGCTGCCCGCCAGGAAGGAGCCCACAGGTGCCAGAGAGAAGCCATTTCCTTGCCCCCTTCAGGAACCCTGGTGAGTCCTGATGCTCTGACCTTCTCGATCCTCAGCACAGAAGGGTATGGTAGAAAGATGCCTCTCCCGAGGGGCAGAAACCTTGGGTGCTAGTCCCAGTCCTGCTGGGTGACCTTGAGCGAGTCACTCCAGCTCTCTGAACCTCACCTGAACCATCTGGGGAAACGCGCTCCCACTCCCATGTCTGCTTGCCCCCTTGATTACTTTCCCCCGTCACACGCCTTCTTTGGAAAGATTTTTGTCTGCCAAGCTGTGCCTGTTATATAATAAGTCATTAATTGGTTTTTCCTCTTGTGTGGTAATTGGGGCCCTATCACAGCCGATCAGTGTTTCCTGGTCAGCAAGACCAAACCCTGGCAGTACCACTGAGCTGATGTAAGTTGAACCATGGCAAAGAAATGTGGTGTTTCAGTCTGTCTGTGAGATCTTATCTAGAGCCAATATTTGATTTTCATTTGGCCTCTTGAAATAGGAGAAAGAGAGCACGGTGAGTAATTCCAGAGAATGGGGACCCTAGGTGGGGAGCCCCTACATCTAGCATGCATGGTGTGTGGGGGTACCAGGTAGAAACACTGCCTTCACACCCCGGGCCCTGCTTTGATCCCTGCTATGCTGCCTCCCACATGGAATGCATTCTTGAAAGTGGGATCCTTTGGCCTGAAAACTTCCTGTGTGGGGTTGGGTTGTTCCCAGGTGTCCCCACACTGGGTTCATTCCCCTGCTCTGACTGAGATTGGACAGCCCTAGGTTAGGGAGACAAGGTCACCCTCAGCCTCTGATGGGGGATAGCCAGGGGAATGGTGATGGGAACAAGTAAGCGTGAGCACTGGGCCTGGAAGCCAGGACAGTATACCATGAACACAGCTTGTTCTGGGAATCAGGAGACCAGGCTAATCTGCGTTGATTGGCTCTGTGACCTCAGGCTAGTCGCCTAACCTTTTTGAACCTCAGTTTTCCCAGTTGTAAAATGGTGATTGTAATCTTGACAATGCTCACCTACCAGGACTGGGGCCAAATAATATTGTGTATTTCACAGAAGCTTAGATTCTAGTCTTTAAAATGCATCCAGAATTCAGAGATTAAAAGAACCACAAACATGCTTTTTAGAATTGATACAACAGAGTAATGGATGTTTTATAAAATGTGACCTCCATTATAAAGAATTGTTTCAATGATGAGGGAATTGTGATTGCTTGCTATTCAAGTCCTTTTCCTTTTGAAAAGTACCATTTATTGGGACTTTTTTAAGAGTAGACTCATAAACAGAAAGCAGGGGGAAACATCTCATTGAGTAATGGTATTTTCTAATGATTCCTGGAACTGAAACCCAGGCCTGGAATGTGGCCCTAGTGTGGGAAACAGTGTGATGTGTGGTTAGAGCATGCACATTGCAGTTAGATAATGTTGGGTTCAAATGCAGACCCAGAGACTTACTGATGACCTTGGGTGTAAATCGCTATGCGTTTCTGTGCTTCGATCTCTTCTAAATTCTAAAACGGAGTTGGGGGAATGTCACGAGTCCTGCCTGATGTTCTTGAGGGGGGTTTAATGTAGGACAAGGACTCAGCACCCACATACATGTTCCACTAGATTTGCCCAGATCCAGAGGGCTCCTGATCCTTGGAGATTCAAGTGGACTAGATACACTGATTCAGGGCAAGACACCGCAGCCAGCTCCCCACCAGGGGCTCTAATCACCCTTGTCACCTTCTGCAGCAGCAGGAGGCTCTGGAGAGATGCTGGATGAGTAAGCATGTGGACCCAGTGAATTCCCCCAAATGCACGGGGCTGCTGCTGCTCCTTGCTCTGGAGGTCCAGCCAAGGTCCTGGCCCCTTCTGTTTGGTCACTATTCTCCTTGTCCCGAGACTTCCTGCTAAGCAAATCAGTCAGAGAGAGTGAAGTTTAGGGGTCATGACAGTGCCTTCCCTCCCAGTGAGGCTGCGGGAGGGTAAGGTGGAGGAAGAGCTGGAATAGAAGCTCCGCAAGAAAGGGAGAGGCAACCCTTCTTGTCCAGCTGGGCAGATGGTGTGTGAGAGTGTGCACATGTGTGCACACAAGTTAACACAGTTCAAGTGGAGGGGCTTGCCTGGTGGTTCACTGGTGGAGATTCCACCCGCCAACGCAGGAGACATGGGTTCAGTCTCTGATCAGGATTCCACATGCCGTGGAGCAACTGACTCCGTGCTCCACAGCTATTGAGCCTGTGCTCTGGAGCCGAGGAGCTGAAACTACTGAGCCCAAATGCCACAACTACTGAAGCCTGAGCACCCTAGAGCCCGTGCTCCACAACAAGAACAACCACTGCAGTGAGAAGCCCACACACAATGAAGGGTAGCCCCTGCTCACCACAACTAGAGAAAGGCCCACACAGCAATGAAGACCAAGCACAGCTAAACATTAACAAATAAAATTATTTTTAAAAATTCATGTTGAAAAATTCTGAGTGTGAAGGCCCCCCAAGAGGTCATGTCAGCCAGTCCCCTGCTTGGGGCAGGAGTCTTTTCTAACCAACACAAGAGGTTGCAGCTGCACTCCAGGGAAGCCTCCTAAACACCTCTCCTTGGTAACCAGCCATGGCATCTAAAAATCCTCCCCAGGGTGTGCTCAAGCTGTGTGTGTGTGCAGGTTTGAGGGCCTTGGATGTCTGAATTAGAGTTCCATGGACACGGAGCACTCAAACCTTGTGGAAAAATAAGTTTGAGGTTGAAATCACTGGGGTGCAGTGAGGGGTTGAGGTTTTCTGCAGTCACCAGGAAACTTAGAGGCACTTTGGAGGAGCTGCATTTGTGGGGTGCCTATTGTGATCTAACGATTATGTTAGGTGTTTTAATTTTATTACCGTATTTAATCCTTACAGTAGAGTGTTTTATTATTCCCATTTCACAGATGAGAACACAGGCTCAGAGAGGTTACAGATCTTGAGTAAGATTGCTCAGCTAACAAGTGGCAGAACTGTGACTCAGATCTTTGTATCACTACATCAAGAGCCTGGCCTCTTAGCCATTCTACCAGTAGCTGCAAATCAGGCCAAATACTGAAGTTCCCAGGTGCATTTTGTTTGGCTTACACGGTATTTTGTTTTGTTGTAACATTTAAAAAATTTAGATGCCAACATTTGATAATACAGCTATTTAACCTAAGAATCTAGACTGATTTCTCTCTGAAGGTCAGAAGGAAGACGTGGCACTGTGTGTCCACGTTCTCATATGCCAGCAATCAACTAGACCTGCTTATCAGCCTCTGCCTTTAAACAGGGCTTGTGACTTCTAATTTGCCACCGCTCCCTACTCCTTCTACTCACTCCACTTTCTTGTTTATGACCAGCCTGGCCCTACAGGCCTGTGGAGACCTCGGTTGTGGTCCTAGCACTTGACCTGGCTATGGCTTTAAGTAAGTAATGGCACCTACCTGGGCTATGGCTGTAATCTGAGCGAGGTAACACTCTGAAATAACATCCTAAGTGGCTTTCTGTGCTGCCTGGGGGTGGAGGGGGGAAGCCCTAACTCTCTGGCACATCCACATCTTGGTGGCCTGGCTGAGTCTGTGTGCCTTACACCAGGGGTGGCTGGTGTCATTTGCTCTTTGTCACCATCATTCCACTCTACTATATCTGATGCTCCTGATGATACAGGACATTTGGAAATAGGTAGGGCCTCGTGACACCAACCCCAGTGTGATGCCCATTCTTAATACTTTGATCAAAGGGTCTGACTTCCATGTGCCTGTTTCTCTGTTTCAAGAAGCCAGACTGAGATTTCAAAATCTGAATATCTTCTTCTGACCCTATTTTTGCTATAGGGTGTACAAGAGAACATCTATAGCCCAGCTGAGAATGTATTCTCTTTTTCTGTTACAACACACACACACACACACACACACACACACACGCACATAAGGGTCAAAAATAGCCATGGTTTGTAGGTCTTCGCATCTATCTAGTGTCTTGTTCAGATTTCTCTTTTTAAAAATATTCATTCATTCATTTGGCTATACCAGGTTTTAGTTGCAGCATGAGAACTCTTAGCTGTGGCATGTGGGATCTAGTTCCCTGACCAAGGATTGAACATGGCCCCCCTGCATTGGGAGTGTGGAGTGTTAGCCACTGGGCCACCAGGGAAGTCCCTTGTTTGGATTTCTGAGGTCAGGTCTTTAGAACTATGGAATAGTAGAGATGGAAATGTACAGATCATCTAGCCCAATAATAGCAAATATATTTTACTTCATTTTTGAATTCCTGTCAATCAGTAGAGCACTTGAAAAGGCTTCTGAAGCTGCATATGAACATGGAATGATCATACACTGAGATCTGTCAGCAATATCTACTGTGGGCATGGTGAGGGGCTATAGCAGTACTTATGCCAGAAATTATACAGATATGAAAACTGGGCTGGGAACAGGAGATGAAAGTGTGAAAGAAAGTGTTAGTCACTCAGTCGTATCCGACTCTTTGTGACCCCATGGACTGTGGCCCAGCAGGCTCCTCTGTCCATGGGATTCTCCAGGCAAGAGCACTGGATGGGTTGCTATTCGCTTCTCCAGGGGATCTTCCTCACCCAGGGGTTGAACCCAGGTCTCTTGCATTGCAAGCAGACTCTTTTCCATCTGAGCCAACAGGAAAACCCAGGAAGGGGAGATGACTTGCCCGAAATCACTCAGCAAGACAAGACTCAGGTCCGGAAGCAGGATCTCTCTTGGCCTGGAAGCCACCGTTGCTTCCACTATATTAGCTCAGAGAAGAAACCTGAGAGGAAGGGAAGATGACAGAAGCAAGCCGAGGACCCTGGAGTCCTGGCTCCCCCAAGAAGTCTGGCTGGGGTTGGGGCTAAGGAATTTAGTTCTGTCCCACTAGACTGAGCCCTGCCTGATGACCTGTTGTCTTCTGCTCCACTTCTCAGAGTCCCCTTGCTCCTGCCCCAGTTTCCTGTCTCACTTTCTTCTGGCTCAGAGAGTGCACGTTGTCTCCTGAGATCCCAGGCCCTACATGCCCTCTTTTGACAGTGAGC